TATTTTAAAATTTTGTATATCTTTTTTATTATTATTATTATTTTTTTAATTAAAGAAAGTGCGTTGATCTTTACGTTCCAGATTCTGTTAGGCCCTTTTCCAATCTTTTCTTTAGTAAAAATTTAGCAATTCAGCAATAATATTAAGTAACGTATATAAAGAAATCAAATATATCTTCCTTATTTAGTAATTTAAAGGTTTTTTTTTTCTTTGTATAGATTAAGTTTATTTGATGTTATATTTGAGTTTAAATCGTGTATTACTTAACACTAAGTTAAAGCTCTTCCTGTGCAGAAAATTGCTTTAATTTTAGTTAATTTTTCGATTATTTTAAGGAAAATAATAATAAAAAATTGATTTTTAATTACAATTTATTATTTATTTATTTATTTATTACTTTGTTTATATTTAAATATAGGGAAATTTCTCTAATTCGATTTGAATGCAAATTTTTATACTTTTTTATAAGAAAAAAAATACTTTAATCCTTAAAAATTAGCAGGATTTTATCTAAAATATAAGAAAATAAAAATGGAAACTTTATTAGAACCTGTCAAAAGCGGAAATCTGCTTAAAATCGGAAAAATTCTCCGAAACCGAGAGCGATTTTCTATGTTAAGAAATATAAAACCTGTCTAAAACGGAAACTTGTCAAAAGCGGAAGAAATATTCATTAACGTGCAGGTTTTACTGTACAAAGTAGATTTTTTTAATGACATTTTTTCCCAGTTTATAGTTTAATTTTTTGTGTAAACTTTTTAGAAAGAAATTACATTTTTTTTTTCTTTTTAAGGGAAGAAAAAAAAATTCAGAATTGACATAATATTGTTAAAGTCAGGTTAAAGTGTAATTAATTATAGATTGGTGTCATCAACTCGGTCAAAATAAATTAAGATTGTTGTAAAGGATAAGAAAACTTTGGCATGATATACGCGCCGCAGGATACCATTTTATAATATAGTTTTTTTTTTTTTTATTACTTTTTATGGTTGTTATATTAAATCGAATGTTTAAATAATTTGCTCCCAGAGATTGAAAAAGGAATTATTTTTAAAATAATTTAATAACATAATAAAAGAAAATACTGAAGAATTTTTATTATACAGTTAAACCTGTCCAAGACGGAATTGGAATAAAACGTTTTATGCAGGTTTTACTGCAAGTTTTTAACGTGAAAATAATAATTTTATTTAGAATTACTTTAATAAAAGTCTATATTTAATTAAATATAATTTAATTGTTACAATTATTCGATTTAATAACACGTGTAAACGTTTTAAGAAGTAATCCAATTTAGTATCATTTTTAGAATCAGAGATTGGCAAATTAATAAAAAAATTATCAGGATAAATTAAAAAATAAATATCAGAATTATTTATGCATGAATCTTGCATAAATAATCCTGATATTTATCTTAACTGATATGAAAATTAGTCGTAACATGCAATAAAACATGGAAAGATACGATTAATCCTCGAGCTTAGTTTTCTTCTCTAAGGATTATCTATAAATATAATTTTTTTTATAATTTATTATACCTTTATATTAAAAAAAGGAGAGTTTTAATTATAAAAGAAAAGTGGATTTATACAGCAAAACCTGTATAAAACGGATTAGAACGATAGCAAATATTTTCTCCGCTATGACAGGTTTTTTTTTATTTTTTAACGTTAAATATCGCTCCGTTTGGAATAATTTTTCGGTTTAGAGAGGTTTTCGTTTTGGACAGATTTTACTGCATATAAATAATTATATTTTTATGGTAGGAAATTCAAAATGATTTACAGGATCCGAGCAAAAATTGCAGACATCGTAAAGTCGAGTCCTTATGGAACTTTACTTTTAGTAAAGTGGGCCAAATACAGTCATAAAATTCAATAGTTGATATAATCGCCATAATAAAAGC